TTCATTGCCAGATAGTCTAACACAGTCAATATTGATGAAAATGTTTTTGTTCTGTTCTGCAGATGATGCGCTACTGGAATATCCAAATTCTACAGCTTCTTAGGTGCACATAGCTGTCCGTCGCAAATGTAACAACGAACACTTCATTGAAAAACAAAAATAGAAATGAGATGTTCACATTAAAATGTTCCTTTATTTTAATTCTCTGCTTTTGAATTTTAAAAGTTCTTTTATTTTTGTTCTTTAAAGTAATAACTTTGTTTTTTAGTCACACTTAAATTTTCATGTTCATTTTGTTCACTTTTGACTTGTAAACTGACAATTTATGTAAAGTTCATTAAGTTGTGAGTAAAATTGGACAATTTTAAAATGTTGGTAATAAAACAAAATATTTGAATTACCTTGAACATCTTGTGTAATTAATTTTTCCATGTAATTGTAGCCTAAAACAATGTAAGTAATGTAGTGTAGTTATGCATGTAATGTACAAAATAGGAAAGTAGGAATATTACCAATAGCAGTAAATCAAAAATAAAAATTAAGTGTAATTTAAATATATTAATAATATATTAGTAGCATATGTAAAATATATATAAAGTATCTTAAAAGTATATTTTTAATATAATTCTATGACAGAATTAGTACACTCAAAATATACTAATCAAGCTCTTGAACACTAAAGTATACTTAAAGTATACTAAGTACTACTTGAAGTTGTTCCAAAAAAGTACATTGAAGTATACTAAAAATTGTAAATTAATACTATTTAAATAGTATTAAAATATACTAAGCACAAAAAAAGTTCCTTCTATTGCCAAGCTGCCGCTGCACAGCATAAACAGCGGAAGTTCTCTTATCAAAATAAAAGCATTAAATTCAAAAACCGGAAGTCAACTAACAAAATAAAGACAACTAGCAGTAAAAAGGAACACAACAAATAAGGAGCTTAACCTGAGGTTATTTACAATAGATATTATTAACTTAGTGCTATGCTTTACAGCAAAGGGAAAGAAAACCCGTTGAAGTACAACTCAAAACCACTTCTTTCTCGCTCAAGCTATACGTAGACTCGTTGTGTGTAGCTTCACTTATTTACTGTATGGCTAGCTCGCTGTCTCTTATCCTGCAGACGCTGAGACACAACACCAATGTCTGGGGTCATAAGCGCCCCCTGCCATGAGATAAGAGAACTGCCTGCATCACCCCAAGTCTGTTCTCTCCCATTTCTGATTGCTGTGTGTATAACACGAATCACGTTATACACACAGTTGTATAACGTGGTTCTTTTTTTTTGCCCACTTGACAGAGGCACAAGGCATGTTTATTTTGTAAATAGGATATTTCTAATATTGATCAATTGGAATTGTGATTTTTGCTTTATTGTAATCAAATACGGTATAGTTTTGAATCAGTTCATATTGGTAATAGTGAACGTTATTTTTAGTTTTCAAACGTTACTGTTTTAGAGCATGGTTTGTAGCTTACACTGTCTTTTTTTGTGTTTAAACAGCTCTTATGGTGAAACTCAGGGTTTACTCACAATAAACCTCACTGTTCATCAGTAAAGCCAAAATCCTTCATTTGGGGTGGGGGTCTGCCACATCTATATTTCCAAGTTTCATTGAGTTAACGGAATTATAAATAATAGAAATAATAGAATAGGATGGATGGATGGTATCCATGGATACCATCCAAATCCTATGGATGGTATGTGAAAGTATAGTCTTTTTGCCCTTCAATGTTGTCCGCATGCAAAAAATTTGTGCATGTAAACAATAACTTGTAGGTGGTCTTATGATTTTGATTAAGTCAGTGCCTCACTAGCCATCAACCTCACAGCACATCACAGCTATGTAGTTTCCTGTGCCACCTTCGCCCCACCCCTCAGCCTGACTCCTGCTCACCACTCTCACCTGCAATCAATTAGCTCGTTAGCCCTGGTTTTGTCTAACTTTCTACCTCCCAGTATTTAAGCCTTATTTTCTCCCATTATTCATCAGATTTTCACGTCTACTCCTGTCAGTCCTTTGTGATTTTCTGTGTTCCCTTGTGATTCTTGGTGGGATGTTTTTGGATTTGGTTTTGTTCTTATTTTCATCATTTTCCCATTAAATCTATAAACTCTACCACTTCGGGGTCCAACTTTTCACTAGTGATGGGCAGATGAGGCCTCACTGGGTCTGTGGCACATTTACCAAACTGTGTCCACAATGTGCTGAGACTGTGTCCCTTTGTCACTTACAGTGACACCTGCTGGATTTAGAAAGTTATTGCAGGCAAATTCAATAAAGGGAGTGTTAACCAGTTCATCCTCCTCATGCTGGGCATTTTGATGCCTCAGCATTGTGGAAGTGCTCTGCTTACAGTAAGACAAATCTTGGGAGCAAATCCTACAATTTTCACCTACAATATAAATAAAAGTTAATTCATGTAAACTAACTCAAATATCCCATGGAAAGGAATTTGAATAATCCAAAAGAAAAATGATGAAAAGTGAAATAAAAACGGAATAATTATTTTTAATTATAAGATCAAAATGATCTCACACGGGAGAAAACTTCCTCTTCCTCTGTTGATCCATGCTGGTAGTCAAATATGAGCCAAAAACCAACACAAAGCAAAGAACACAAAGTATCTATATCCAACAAAACCCACAAATGTATTGACACAGTTTCTCCCTCATCAGTACAATTTGGCGCGGTCATATCCAAACGACACGGGAACTGTATCGGTCTCGTGGTTTTCCTTAATGATACGCGCACCGACACGGATTCATCTCGTTTGCTCAGCACGTGTCGAGGTTTCGGTGTCATCTGGCCCATCACTGCTTTTCACTAACCAATATCATGACATACAGGACTTGAAATTGACATCTTAATCTGTGTGTGTGTGTACCTGCCACAGTGTAAGCAGCTGTAACCAACAACAATATGGCTGTAGACAGATAGAGATTCCAGCCCAGAGACACCTGGATGAACAGCGCCCCTGAAAACATATCTGTCTGACAAACACACATATGATCAAAGACACTACAACACTGTAATCTCTGACAAAAGATCAGCCATGTAAGCATCTGTAAAGTAAATAGATGTCTTACTGATATTTTTGTGAAGATGTAGAGAATCAGGGATAAAACAGACATGTATATGCGGATCCTACGGCCTCCAAAACGGAAGGCCAGGTATTCAGGCATGGTCAGCACACCAGCAGAGATGTAGACAGGGATAAAGATCCAACCAAGAGCCACCAGAACCCATGCTGCCTATTAAGATAAGATCATTTTGATATGTTTAATCACTAC